TTTGCAGGAGGACGAGGAGGGGGAGGAGGAGGAGGAGGAGGAGGAGGAGGAGCAGCAGGAGAGGAGGAGGAGGAGCAGCAGGAGGAGGAGGAGGAGGGAGGGGACGACGACGATGACGTCGACGACGACGACGACGACGACGAAAAGGAGGAGGGTGGAGGATCGGGAGGGGGGGAAGAGGAGGAGGACGACGAGGAGGAACATGACGACAATGGGAGGACGATGATGGAAGGACGAGGGGGGGAGAGGGAGGACGAGGAAGAAGCGGAGGAGGAGGAGGACGAGGTGGAGGAGGAGGACGACGATGACGATGAGAACGAGGACGAGGACGAGGAGAGGAGTAGGAGGCGGAGGAGGAGGAGGAGGAGGAGGAGAGGAGGAGGAGGAGGAGGAGGAGGAGGAGGAGGAGAGGAGGAAGGAGGAGAGAGGAGGAGGAGGAGGAGGAGGAGGAGGAGAGCGCCATCGACAAGGAAGGGGGGGGCCACGAGGTCCGCCGGCTTGACGACGCCCGCGTCGCCCGCGCCCGCCCCCTCACTCTTATCCGCAATTGCGGGGTGCTATATATTTGCGTGTGTCTGTGTGTGTGTGCGTGTGTGTGCGGCTATTTGTGTACTCGCTCACGTTCCAGAGGTTTCTGGTGTTGTCCACGCTCCCACACAAACTGGTCAATCTACACGATCGTGGCCCGTCCTTGTAGCCTTCGGACCCGCATCCCAACGCGCGTTAGGGGAAAGCATGTTTGCTCGCGTTCTCGTGATTGTGTGCGGGCGCGCGACGGCGACGACCCAGCCACCGTCACGACCATCACCCAGAGGAGGGCAGGTTGAGACAACGGGTGGCACTCCCGCCCGGCCCGAATCTGTCAAAATCAGTCTCCGTACTTGTAAGTCGGGCCGGTCCCTCTACAGGAAGGATATCCCGAAATAGTAAAAAAATAAGCTGGGACGATTTGTTTGACTATTTGTGACCATTTTGGAATATGTTTGGCTATTTCTTATTTTTCCTCCGAAGTCCGCCTGTAGGGGGACATGCTCGACCTGACCGTACCTCTCCCGAAATCCTTCCTGACCCGTTCTTCGACGCGGATCCAGCCGTGGCGACGAGAAGCTTGCAGGAGGCACAGAGAGGGCGAAGAAAAAACGGCGGGGAGGGCCGTCGTTGTCTCGACTGAGACCCTCCTGCGTACCACGATCATCACGGCAACCACGACGAGAGAGAGGCAGAGAGATCGCAGCAGCGGCCGCAAGCGGATCCTCTTCGTCGTTGTTCCTCCTCATCGTCGATCCTCCTCGTCGTCCTCCTCCTCCTCCTCCTCGATCCCCCTCCCCCTCCTCGGTCGCGACCAGGTGGACCCTCACGATCTCGAGCCCCTGCGCGAGACGCTGCTGCTGGAGGCCGAGTGCGGGGGCGCCCGGAGGCTGCTGCCGATGCTCGCGGACCAGCTCGCGGAGGACGGCCTCCCCGAGCCGACGCGCCTGAAGGTGCGCCTGGAGAGCTGAGCGGTGCGGTGCCTCCTCCCACGCCACCACGCCCGCCCCTGGGCTCCTGGCGTTGCAGCTTGTTCACGCCGGGCGTGTTCGCCTCGTCTCGGGCCCGGGGACCAGCAGAGATCGGCCTGGCTCGAAAACTGCAGCAGGAAGATCGGGCCGACGTCTCCAATCGATTTGTTTCGCGACGTTACCATCAGAGGACGGCGAGCCGAGACAGCGGCAGTTGGCCGTCGGGGAGCCCCCTCGTAGCCACGGCTGGACGCAGCTCGGAAAACTACTGCGTTTGGACCCCGGGAGGGTCAGTGACCGACTTTGAGCTCCCTCGCCACCTCGCCTCCCAGACATGTCATGGCGCCAACATCGCAGAGCGGATTTCGTTAGGAAAACAATAGGATGGGCCCGGGGTGTCCTGGATAATTTCGTTCCGGATTTCAAGGTGAATTTCGCGCGGTTTGTGTTTTGGCCAGGAATGAAGGAACAACCCACACGGAAATCCACGCGAAAATCCGCTGCAGCACGTCTGCAAGGTCGGTACAGTGAGACATGCTCGCGTCGCACAAAAAAAACACGCCAGGAGGCTTTTGCTTTGGCCGTTTTTCCAGCCTCGATATCCGGGGCCCCTCGCCGCCGCGCGCCAGGACTGACAAAGAGCGGCTAGGGATGGAAAACCAGTCCTGGAGACGGGGTCGAGGTTTACGTGTTCGGGGGCGGCCAATGGGGTGGTGATGACTGGGTGTGTGTGTGTGTGTGTGTGTGGATATCATGGCGGGGGCCATGATAGTTCCCCAGATTTCATGGCGCCCGTTCTTCTTTCATTACGTCCCTGGCCCCCCCCCCTGGGCCGTGCTCATGCCGCCGGCCATGATTTGCGCCCCCCCCCTCTTGGACGCCCTCCTCTTGGCCGCTCCCGACTTGTCCCTTCTGGTCAACTCGCCACCTCGCCTACAGTCGAGGCTGATTAGTAGGTCGACCCTGTCAAATCAAGGGTACCCTTGTGTCCTGTGCCTCGCGACCCATGCTTCTACATTCATATGGCAGTGTGGCCCTCGGAAGAGTCTTGTGCTCTCTCGCGTGTCCTCTTCAATCCACCCCGACTGTACTGATGAGACATCGGGTTGCGCACAGACAGCCCCCAAGGCAGGCCCAGCTGGCCTGGCCTCAACAGGACCCCTGAGTAGTCCGGGGCCCAGGGCGGTCTCAACACCCTGGCGCCGCCTCTGGTTGCGCCACGGGCCTGTTGAGGCAGGCCGGGACTACCTGGCGAGGCTGCCTGTGCGCAGCACGAAGGTTGAGCATCACCTACGCTCTGGCCCAACCCCTTCGCCCGCCCTTGCCCTTTCGCACGCGCTCTCTCTTGCCCGGCGCTCAAGTCTGGCCCTACCGGACCGGTAATTCAAGAGTGGCAGGGCCAGTCGCCCGCCGAAGCAGGAGCTGGCACTGGCCCTGCCTCCCGCCGCTGTTTCTCCCTCTCCCTCGCCGCTCCTCTCTCCCTGCCTCTCGCCGCTGATCCTGCATGCTTCATCGCGTCGGTCCGTCTGTCACCGCAGCGACGCTGCGCGACACGGGTAGCCTTCGGGGTGAAGCAGCGGTCCGCCTGACAGGAGCGGTTGCTGCCCCGATTTCTGCAGCACCTGTGTCGACATAGTACAGTGGGGGCGTTGGTTCAGGAGTGTGCCCAGAGGGCTTCAGACCCAGGGGAGGTCCTTATCTGATGAGGGCGGCGGTCATACCTATGGCTGATGCACGCCTGGGGTTCGACCAGCTTCCAGACCCTGGATGCCTTGTCCAATGTTATGATGTTCCAGCCTACTTTAGCCTTGATCGCCAGAAAAAAGAATCCAGCACCAATAAAGTACCGAAACTGTAGGCTTTTCGCGTGTCGGGCTCTGGGAGCGATACTCGTTCGACACTGTGTCGACACTTCTCTGGGCGCCCGAAATCATTTTTGGGATGTGGTCCTCAAGTACGATGGGAACAACATAAATCCAATAGTTCCTCAGCCAATGCCCTCACCGCATTGTCCTAGTGCCTTGGTGTGGGCTCCCAGTGCAGCGCGCACCGCGCGGTGGACCGCGAGCCTCTCGACGCCCCGCGCCCTCGCGGAGCCTCGGGAGAGGTCGTGCCCTCGCGCTTGAGGGCTCGTGTACATACCGCCAGTCGCGTGCGACTCGGTCCGGTGCGGCCTTGGGACTCCGAGGGAGGAGCAGCAGGAGTCGGGGGGAGGGGAGGAGGAGGAGGAGGAGGAGGAGGAGGAGGAGAACGATGGATTACTATGATGATGATGCTGGTGCTGATGATGATGATGATGATGATCATGATGATGATGATGACGATGTTGATGATGCTGATGCTGATGATGCTGATGCTGATGATGATGATGATGATGACGACGAGGATGATGATGATGATGGTGATGATGATGATGATGATGATGCGGATGTTGATGCTGATGCTGCTGATGATGATGATGCTGATGATGATGATGATGTTGATGATGCTGATGCTGATGATGATGATGCTGATGATGATGATGACGATCACTGTGATGATGGTGATGATGATGGTGATGATGGTGATGATGATGCTGATGATGAGGATGATGATGCTGCTGCTGCTGATGATGATGATAATGATGGTGATGATGATGATGATAATGATAATGATGATGATGATGATGATGAGGATGATGATGATGATGATGATGAGGATGATGATGATGATGATGATGATGATGATGATGATGATGATGATGATGATGATGATGATGATGATGATGATGATGATGAGAAGGAGGAGGAGGAGGAGGAGGAGGAGGAGGAGGAGGAGGAGGAGAAGGCGGGGAGCAAGGGAGGAGGGCGAGGGAGGAGGTTCAGGAGCTAGAGCAGCTGGAGGAGCGGGAGGATCTGGAGGAGGTTGATAATTGCGGAAGAAGGAGGAGGCTGGCAGGATGGGAGGAGGAGAGCGTCGGAGCAGGAGGAGAATGATGATGAGGAGGAGGAGGAGCAGTAGAGCGAGGGATGAGGATGAGGAGAAAAAGGATGAGGATTAGGAGAAGGAGGAGGAGGGTGAGGAGAGCGAGGGACGAGGAGGAGGAGGAGGAGGAGCTGAGGAGGCGGAGGAGGAGGAGGAGGAGGAGGAGGAGGACGACGAGGAGGAGGAGGAGGAGGAGGAGGAGGAGGAGAAAGAGGAGGGGGAGTGCCAGCTGCCAGCACGTTGCTACCTTGGCTGCCCG